CGAGTCACAGTAATATTTAAATGATATTTCTCACTGATATTATAATAAAACAACAAAAAGAACCAATTAAACAATTATAACTACCAAAACAAAGTTTAAATACTTAAAACTCCAAACAAAAGTTTAGCCCGCGCTCAAAGTAAACAACTGTTTGACTTGACTAGTGTTGCCAGGGCCGTTGAGTCGTAAGCTACGTTTCGTTCATTACATTCAAATGTTACATTTTTGCTGCAGAAGTTACATAATTGTTTTTTTTCTTTTTATTTATTACGGCGTGAACGTACAAAAATCAATTTTATTTAAGTACCTATGTAAATAACTTGTCTATGTCTTAACTTTTAGTTTTCGGCCCGAGATTTCCGAAAAAGGTGCTTGGTTGACAAAATTTTGATGGGTAGTACATAGCATAGTACGACTTTTCGAATATTTTACGTAACTTTGATTGATTTCGGTATGGTCAAAGAGAAGTTATCCAAACACCTAAAAGATGCTCGCTCATATTATCGCATCAATATCAAAGATACTTATTAATACAAAAATTCTAGTAAAATTATTTTCTATCAGTTCAGAAAGAAAAAAAAGTGTGGGTTGCTTTTCATGGTATTTTATAATATAGTAACTTTACTTATACCAATATCTGTGAGTAACATAGTTTTACAGTAATTGAGACCTAGCACCTCTCGCTTTTTTACGATAAAATGATTTTTCTCTTTGAACTTATATAAGTATACTAGCTGATCCGGCAAACGTTGTATTGCAACAAAAAAAATTTTAGGGATGGGTCACCCTTACCATTCAAAATTGTGAATCTAAACCATTCCCAGATCCCCTTGAACACACACAAAAAAATTCATCAAAATCGGTCCAGTCGTTTGAGAGAAGTTCAGTGACATACACACTCACAGAAGAATTATATATATAAAGATTATTTAATACTTTTTAGTTCGGCTAGCTACAAAAGCGTGTTTTTACACGCTTTATATTAGCTTCACTTGTATGTTTGTTTGTATGTTTGTTTGTAACCGACTCCTTAGGGCGTGATTTTGACTGACTTTAAACGGTCAGAATTCGTTCAAACTTTGTAGATATATCGAGGACCGATGACAATACACTAATTTAAAAAAAAAACATAAAAAAAAAAGTAAAAAAAAAAAAAAAAAAAAAAATTGTTCTAGCCAAGTAGTTTCGAAAGGCGAAGTAGGAAACATGCGGCACACGCTCAAGCAAAATCAAGTTTTAATCCAACCACTATATACTCCTTTTCCATTCGATCCATTCAGAGCCATCTTTCAACGCGCTAAAAGTATTTTACTCCATATCACTGATATGGAGTGAAAGATTTAGTACTTACTAAATCATTATAGACACGCCAATTTTAGGTACATTCAATTTGAATGCGTTCGTAATCTCGTTATTCTCAAAATTAAGGAAAATTGCCTTAAATATAAAAATTACTTACACGTTACGAGAAGTTGTCAAAAGTTACGAAAAATGTAAGAAATGTAACCTACTAGCAACACTGTGACTTGAGAACGTTAATTTGACATTAATAAGAAAGCTTACCATAGACTAAAGTATAGATTTTTTCCAAGTACATGGTAGAACGAGCGATCAACTAATCCGTGTCAACTTGGCTAGCAACTTTGCGTTTTCTAAAATCGTTTACGACGAGGAGTCAACGAATTTAGAAAGAGATTCGATCCGATACATTTGTAACTTGGCTAGGCCTGCTGTTTTATTTGAATTACACGGTTCTTTTTGAACTCTCGCTAAAACAAGTTCTTTCATTTGAACTTTCGTTCACTTAAATTTGTTGAGTTGAAGGGAAACTAGGTGTGAACATTTTTACAAATTAATGCTGTGGAGTAGCAAATTCGTCATATTAAAAAAAATGTATCTAAAATTTTTTTACGTTTTCTGACTGAAAACTTGCTCACTCTTTAGGTTTATGGCTAATGAGGAACAGAATATAACCCAGATCTAAGAGGAAATATTGCTTAACAAGGTATTTTTATGTGTGTAATGGATATAGGTACATAAACATAAAAATAAATCTTTCAAAGTAATAAAAAAACTACATAATAATCAAAATAAAGCAGAACTAACCAACACTAAAGAAAATTGTCTAAAATTCTGTGCTGCTATTACAGAAACATAGAGTTACTTGAAAACCCGTTACTTATATTTTTTAAATGTAAATTGAATCGTAAAATGCTCGTAAATTCTACAGAATGACACGTAGGAGTACAGACACGCAAACGGATTCTCGGACACCATTTTGTGTTTGTACGTCAAAATGAATTGTACAATAGACACGTCATAAAGTTTAGTGTGACATTCTTTGTAAATGATCTGAAAACGGAGAAAAATATTAAAAAGTAAAGTGGTTGCGATTGTGACAGAGTTAACTAAAAGGCGTCATTTCCGACAGACAGTGCCGTGTGCCGCCTGACAGTTGGCTGAAGAATGTATCGCCTATCAGGCACAATCAGCAATAACCGTTTTATTTTATTCGCGTGTCCATTCGCGGGTTTGAGGGTTCAACACTCTACGGAACATTGATTTCATGTGCGATATAATACGACCAACAAAACTTCTAGATAACAAGCAATATTCTCGACTTGAATTTTTTTCTTGTTTAAATGCATAGACATATAACAAAATATAATAGAGTAAATTAGAAACGACCTTTTTCATTTGTTGGCATACAATAAAAATTGTACAGCATTTGTTTAACTCAATACTGTACAGCAACAAAAAAAAATAGATATTTTTAGGTTACAACATAATAATTATGAATTTTTATTTTTGCTTAAACAATTAATAAAATCACCTCTGTCCTTGTAACATGATCTTAAATAAAAAAACGGTTAAGTTAAAGCAATTCCTTTTAACCCCCGACGGAAAACGAGGGATGTTATAAGTTTAACCTGTGTATCTGCGTATCTGTCTGTCTGTCTGTCTGTGGCATCATAGCTCCCGAACTGATGGACCAATTTCGATGCGGATTTCTATGTTCGAAAGCCGATGTGATCGTAGCGTATATACCATGTTTGGGCTTATTATAACACTCTCAATGAGCAGTTTATTTTTTTGTGTAGGGGTTTTTTAATGATACTTTAATAAATTATTATTTTGTTTGGCTAAGGTCATTGGTACGTCTTTGAAAATACTTTGGAGGAAACCAATATAAGAATATTTTGTAAAACGTTTATATAATTAAAATAAGGAAGTAAGAGAGCCTTGCATTATTTGGACATTCTTGATTTTTTAATGTTTATTGGTTTTACCGCTGTCCTCAATTATTTCTACTACTAATTTACATTTCTAATTCTGATATCCCTTTATTAAAAAATACTTTACCTTTACTTTCGGTGTATTTTCAGACACCGTCCAGAGTATTTGCTTAGAATTACTAATAACCAATGATGTTATAATTACAAAATTCACGAGTTGTAAGAATAAAGTTCTACATTTTAATTAGTTGAGGAACACATCACATCGTTACTGAGATAATCAGGGATTCAATACACGCGGACCACTCATACGGGGCGGTAGAATTTATTTTCAAACCTTTTGTTTATTAAGTGTATTTTTAACACTTTCGAACTGAGAATAACATTTATTGCCTTTTGCGAATTCTGCTTAAAAATAAGGTTCCCGATTCTTTATACATTAAATATTGTTGTGTGTAAAACGAGTGTAAAAACTTCTTGTGGAAAATAAATATTTTTAAATGGCATTGTAGTAATTTGATTAGATTAGAATAACAAACAAAAATAATGCGGTTACTACTTTCTGTGATAAATTGAATCTCCACTAGTAGGTAAACACAGGTCTAATAAGCATAGGCATATTCCCATGCATGCATAGAAAATAGAAACAAAGCAGAAAAATAGGTCACTGCCGCCTCGTTAGAACATTAGCGAGAAGTAGCAATGCCTCTTGATAATCTGATCTCACTTGCTGATCTGAAGGAAGAAGACTAGCAAGTACTAATAAGTTGCCAATATTTGATTTTACTCCGGAGAGCAATTTTCAAAATGAAAATTAAGTTTCAACAGGAATTAACGTACTTGCAATGGAAGTGGTTTACCTATTGGGTGCCACTTACACAGGAAGTGGTATCTAATCTGTGCGTCTTACTGGTTCCACGACCTTAGGCGCAGCTTCATTAAATATCAAGGCTAGAAAATAAGTGTCATTTTTTATTAATGGATATAGCAACACAAACAAGTCTGTATTCGTATTTCAAAAACGCGAAGACTAAGAATAAGGGTGTCATTGTGTACGGTGTCGTTAAGAACGATGTCAACGGTCCACGTGACGCCACTCATTCACACACTTGTACAAACAAACTTGTTTTGGCAGATAAGAAACTAATATTTCAAGCTCTACAATCACCAGCAGTCAACGCCCGAAATTCTCTATGTAACATTTTTAATGACAATCGATGAAAGATATGTGTGAATTTAAGATCTACTGCTATGTTCCGGTTTGTATATTGACACACATTAAATCAGATTTCTAATTAAATATGAGTTAGGTGCCTGTCTTTGGCGTTTCATTAAAGAGTGGACGATAAAGTATGATGTATGACTAGATTAAGTGTGTGGAGAGTTCTTGCGTTGCGGCAGGTTGGCAAGGCGTGAGTGAAACATTCAGAATGCATATAAACAATGTATTGTGTGAGTTGGTAGTTGTTGTATATATTGTATTATTGTAATCGTATAATTAACTGAAATGTTGAATGTTCTCCAAAATTATTCCTCATCGTAAAAAAGTCCTTTACTGTTTAACATACTAACACATACTGGCTTAATAATATCCAGTACTAATGAAAATTGTATTTAAATGCGAAGTCAATTACCGCAATAATGGACATACAATTTAAGTATAATGGAATAATTTATGAACAAATAAAAATATTTTAAGTGTAACTAAGTTTATAATGTCTAATATCATTATGATTAGAATTGTCATTGAGTTTAGACATTACGATGAATGGAAATAAAGAAGGTACATAGCGTGGCCTAAGTTGTAGATATTGTTTAACCTGTATTAGGTTAATGGTAGTGATCTGGAAGCTGCAGGCGAGCGGAGCCGCGGGCGCGGGCCGATTCAGGTGCAACGCACGCGGCTCACGCGCACCGTTGCCTTTGCCAACGGCGAGCGCGAGCAGTGCCGTCGCGCGCGCCGCCTTGCCCACGCGCACGCCAAATCTGCGTTTCGCGATACATATTCGCACAAATGCAAACTGCTTCCCATTTTCAAACAAAATCCTTTCATAGCAAAGCTCGGTCGCTCTATAAATAACGCCAACCGGTGGGCCGTTGTGCTCTACTCGCGAAATCTGTGCAAATGTTATGTTATAAACTTGAGATATTGCAACATTTTAAAAACTTTGTACTGAATAAGGAGAAGTTAACGCCAGGCGTGCGTCTTGGGTGATTAATAAATCAATGTTTTAATAAATGTTGGATGAATTTAATAGTTTATGTTATAGAAGTACTAGGTACTCTACTCGTGAAGTGTGCGAAATATGTGAAGTACTTATTCTATACTATACTTAGTGTTTAGTACAACTTTACAAACGAGAGCTTTTCTTATTATTGTTTTTATTGAACGTGATAACAATATTTTAACAATTTTTTTTTTAAATCATATTTTTCTTTTACCCTATCTCTATCAAAAAACAGTGAAGTTTATTTTAGCGAAAAGTCGAACTTCAGTCAGTTGCCTAAATATTTTAAGCAAATGGATGTGATAGTTACAACAACATTTGATTATTCACATGAACACGTTACATTATATACCTATACGTATTAAAGTAAATGTACATTCAGTACATACAACTCGTGTAAAACTGTGTTTAGTACAATTTAAAATTATATTTCTGTTTACGATTATTTTGTAATACAACAACAACTTTATATTAAATTGAAAGTTTAATTCTTTTGTTCATGTTTTTTAACTTCCTCATAGGTGTATCTATTTTCGTATTAGAATATCCTTAAATCATATCAAAATAAATTAAGTATGCGATTAGTTGAAATCGTTCAAGGTGAAAGCGATTTTTCGTTATCACAGTACCTACTCAATATAACCGCGAGTGACGATCGCACACGATAACACTGTTGTGTTTCAGTTTTATCGATATATAACTCCTTGAGTCACGTATGCCATTGCACCATATACACACAGGTGTTGTGCGCGACTGTACCTTTGCCAGCGACTGACTGATTAGCACTTGTTAGTAAATATACCCCAGTTTATATAACCTATACTGATTAAATATTATATTCTAATTTCTAAGAACAGTACATATACGAAGTGTTAGTCGCGAAGTGAAGTGATGTACTTCGTTATGAAGAGATTGAATAGTGTCAAGTATTCATTAAGATGAAGACATACGGTTCAATCGGTCATATTAAAACAATGTATATGTTGGTCGCAACTCGTTAATTGGAGCTAAGTGTACGGCAAACAGAAAGTTTAGGTGAGGCGAGTATTTTGTGGAGGCGATCCAGTGATATATGTGAACTGGAGGAAGGTTTATGAGACAGTTATTTGAGTACTAAATATGTATCACAACGGAAGGTTGGATAGTAGCAGTACCTCCACGTCATCAGGGAGTTCCGACCTACGGGTGAGTTATAAAGATATGTCAATTTTATTATATCCTGTTGATCATACCTACGCTGGATATCTACTTATGCTGTTGATCAGTTTTAAATTTACTAGAAACAATTTCTATTGATATTGAGATAAGACAGACATACCATATAATTTTATCCGTGTAGATTAAGATTTTTATATTTACTCGTATGCGTCGAGCTGTAACACAGAGATGGCGAGTTTGAATCCCACCCATCTTGTTTAAATACTATTAAAAAAGATTTTATAGAAGATAGACTAAGCTAGTTGCAATGTAAGCAGCAATTGTGCGTAGGGTTAAGACGGATCAGAGATCGGGTACAGCGATACCCCTGCGGGCAATTTGAGACACTACCTGTACAAATCTACAATCGGAAAGGTCGCCAGTCCCCACTACGAAAAAGCCTACTCGCGCACTACTAGTATGTGTAAAGTTAATTCCATTCACAATGGTCTTATGAGATGCGGAGAAGACCATGTGCTATCGTTGTCTCTGTTCTACACCGATGACTCAGGGATCTAACGTATCTGAAAGTCTACCTAAGGTTTACACTTTGAAATATTATATTTATATAATAAAAGGTGTATCTACCCCCAACTCCTGCTAACTCTCACGGTTACACCGTGAAAAACTACATATTATCTTAGAGACTTTTTTTTTTTTTTTTTTTAACGTGTGGAAATCCCCTCGGACCGTCACCCCTCCGGGGTTTGCGGCGGGGTGGTGTGTCGGACTCGGACCGACTAAAACCACACGGTGTGCCACTCTGCGCCTGTAACAGGAGGGATCCGGGAACAGCTGTTGTTAAGACATCCGGACCCCTCCTAGCGCCAGCCCGCTCCTGGTGCGGGCTCCGTCTCAATATAGATGTTCCTCTCTTTGGGCGACGTCCGGCACACGCGGACGCCGCCCCCTCGCGGCTGGCCAACTAATGCGGGTGGAGGGGAAACCCACCCCGTCCACCCGCGGCCACACTCAGGGCGGCATGAGGCTGTGGTAGGCGGGCCGGGTCCGAGTGGAGGTCGTCCTCCCGGGCCCTTTCCGCCGCCTCCTTCCGCGAGATTACTACCTCGCAGAAGGTTGCGACCGCGGTAAAACAACTGTCGCTACCGGCCATGGAGCGTACTACGGCCGGTAGCGAGAGATCCACTCCGATGACTGCAGTGAGGGCCCGGCGCTGCGCCGCCCATGCGGGGCAGACCGCCAGCGTGTGCTGGGCCGAGTCCTCACTGCAGTCGCAGTGGTGGCAGGCGGGACTCAGTTCCCTCCTAGCGACCGTGTGCAGGTACTTTCCGAAGCAACCGTGCCCGGAAAGCACCTGCGTCAGTCGGAAGGAAAGGGTCCCGTGCTGCCGCCCTGCCCACTCGGCGATGACCGGCTGGAGAGCCTCCACGGCGGCGAAGCCAGCGCGTGGAGTCTCCAGCCGGAACGACCAACGAGCCATCGTGGCTCGGCGAGCGGCTTCGCGCCACTCGCGCACATCCTCGGGCGGAGGGCGAAATCCGCTCTCCGCCCGGTAGTCAGCCACTCGCCGATAAACTTCGGCGAGCACTTCCGCCTCCAAATCCCACGGGGGAGTTCCGGCCAACGCGCACGCCACCTCCGTCGAAACGGTGCGGTAACCGCGTATGGCTCTGACCGCCATTACCCTCTGAGGGCGCCAGAGGCGTACCCTATTCTGGGCGGTCAGAGCCGCCGCCCACACCGGTGCACCGTACAGTGCCATTGACCGGACAACCCCCGTGTACAGCCGTCTTGTCGCGACGCTGGGTCCACCCATATTGGGCAAAAGTCGCCCTTCTGATCGTTTTTAACGTATATGAGGTCGCATATCTTCATTTCCAACTATGGATAAAGATATTATAATGCACCTTCGATAATGCCAGGCTGTGTTCAATAAACTATTACTTAAAGTTCAATTTCAACATTTATTTTTGATTTATTTATGACACACAATACAACTTATTTTACAGGTTTTGTACCTAATACAATAGTGTAGCCATTCGTTGTTAAAACATGTATAGTAATAAATAATACCTGTAATAGGTATTATTTATTACTGGTAAACAACATTAAATATGTATAGTAATAAATAATACCTATTACATTAACAATTTTAACAGCGTTACTCATCCCGCCCGCATCACGGCAGCCGGACTGACAAACACACTCATATACTTCCAAACACACACCACAGACAAACCACTCCCAAACACAGCACCTACTAACCCGCTTTTCACTCAACTACTCGTCCCGGGCGTGAATCGAACCCCCGGCCCCCGGCCCACCATACCGACAGGCCTGTCTTATTTCAGGTTCATATTATAACAAATATCATTCAACGCTACTCTTGTGAACTCACTCAGAGCACAACAGAATATAACATCATAATTTTAAGTGCAAATTAAGGCTCTGAATGGAATTTGTATATTATGTGTTACTTAAATCGGGAATGCGCTCGGACCGTGGTACTCGCCCGAGGCTAAAGGCGCCATGCAATAGTGGCGCGGGCGCAACTAGCCCGTGCAATATCAAAGCTAAAACGCACATTATATCTTTATTTACCGTTTCCCTAATAATACGTTTAAGTAATATTTCAAGATAATTAATTAATGGTTCTCAAAGATCTGGTGTGCTGATAACTATTTGCTGCAAGCATTAATAATATAATAAGCATTCATAAAAGGTACTTGAGTTGATTTAACGGGGTTTTGGAATTGATATGAACTTTATTAATTATAGGAGCAAATACATATTTTATGTATCTTTAAGATATTTAATCATAACAACAAACAACTCAATTTGTCAGTGCTGCTTACTATTCCAATAGTCATTTGTATAGGTATATAAAATATCAAATACTTTTGACTGACACAGAAATATTTGCAGGCTTTTTATTAAGAAATTATGTCTTAATCAACCAAAAAGATATTTGCCATAGAAAATGTTAAAGATTAAATTTGCTATGGCAATCGTGACACTTCTTTGGTAGTTTTTTACACGCTTTATATTCGCTTCACTTGTATGTTTGTTTGTAACCGACTCCTTTGAGCGTGATTTTGACTGACTTTAAACGGTCAGAATTAAAATAGAAATTTTTTTTTAATAAATTTGAAAAAAAGCTTGGGGTGCTTTTTACTATTGACAACAGGCACACAACGCTTTTTTTCAAATTTATTATTATTATTTTTTTTCAACGCTGATGTAATACCATCTTTCTACTTATTAGTATAGGTACATATTAAAACTTAAAAAAAACAAATTTATTATTATGATTGGAATTCTTCATGAGTGGTAACGATATAATGTTTTTATTTTTATTTTAAACCGTATTATATTATGATTTTGGCGCCTCCTGTAACTGCCGCCCAGGGCGGGTGCCCCGATTTGCCCTACCCTAGATCCAGGGCTGGTACTCTTTTTAAAACTCGTATAGGTACCAGAAAACAATATTACGAGTAAATTAGTCTAAGATATTTTAGGTATTATTTGCTAATCTCATAAATACCTATTAGGTCAGGAGTGTCAAGGCAACTACTACTGGGGTATATGGATCTAATACATTTAACGGTTAGGTCGCTCGATATTTTAAAAGTCACCCAGTTTCCGGGCGCTCTGCTGTTGCGCCGAGGATTATTAAATTCTCTTGACTATCTCAGCGATGAAACGTGGAGCTACGATTATGTTATTTACTGTAGTTTTCTAATCAAGAGCATAGTATCTATCTATGTTGACTATCAGAAGGATTTTTATTAAGGGCTAGTAAGGATTTGAAAAGTTCTAAGATTCGTGTGTAATAATGATATTCTAGATTTAAACTTGCCTATTCTAGAGGTAGGTACTTGTTATAATAAAACAATCTAAAAAGTATCAATAGTTTTAGTGTACTGGTATTAGTATAGTATAATGTAATATTAATAATAATCGTTGGTTCTATATGTGCGTTCGGCATGTAAGTGAATAAATTACCTTTACATACGTTATTAAACTATTGTTTGACGCGAACGTTACGGTCAATACGATCTCAAAAGTTAAGCCAATGAGAAGGTTTAACAATATGATACTTATACCTGACTAGATGTGTTCGCCGCGTGACGTATTTATATTTTGTGTAAGGAACCCTTATGTATTTTTATTTATCGCTCACGGCGATCTCTTACAGACAACCTTAATACGGATTTTAGATATTTAAAAAGTTGGGCAGTTTACAAACTCGTAACGTATTATCACGTCACTATTTAGAAATATCAACAAAAGCATTCATACACAAATATACATCTGTTCACATTACACATAGATAAATACACATATATACATACACACATACATAAACATAATAATATATATCTCTTAAAAAAAAGAAATATATATATACATACACACAACTTTTTTTTTGTTAGAGAATCACCTGATGGAAAGTGACCATCGCCGCCCCTAAAAGTCTGCAACTCAACCCCCCTCAATCGCGATGTGGCGGCCCGATTGCTTCTTATTGCAATCAGGCCGCCATCCTATCCCCTACCGCAGCAATCAATCTGCCACCAGAGGTCCCCATGGCCCCCACTATCTGGTGGCCCACGGCCCCGTCGACTGCTGGTATCGTCGCTGACGTCCTCTACGTTTGGGATCGGCCCTGTCCCGATCCAGTTCAGCGGTCTCTTTCTGGAGCATTACAGCTTCACAAAAAGAGACCACTGCGCCCCGTCCCTTCTCACCCGCCAGCATGGCAGCAATAATTGCTGGCGGGGACAGGTCTCGTCGGATTTGGTCGACTAGGACTTCGCGTTCAGACACACACGCGGGGCAGTCTTCTATCGTGTGCTGGGTGGAGTCAGCATCGCAGTGCTGGCATTGTGCCGTCTTCTCGCGTCCAATCCAATTCAGGTAATCACCAAAGCAGCCATGATCAGTGACTACCTGCGTCAGTCGGTAGGTGATGCGACCTCCCTCCCTACCTACCCAAGCTTCGAGGTTAGGCAAAACTCCACCGA